CATCAATAAATCTAAAAACTGTAAACTGTCTGGAAGAGAAAATAGTTATAAACATCTTCCCAGACCAACATAAATTACTAAATAAATGATCAGAACTTCTCAAAGTGCAGACACAAAAAAACTTTTAATACATTACTTAAAAATCACAAACTAAAAACAAAGACCACGTAAAACACCATCAAGAAAAATATTAATTTATGCACTATATACAATTCAGATAATGTAACATACTTTAGACAAAACCATTACTTTAAACTAAAAAAAGATAACCAACCCCGCAAAAGGAAGAATAGAGTAAATAAACAAATTAACAAATGATGAATACATGCATAACTACAACTAAGTAAATTTAATGATAATAATCAACAATAAATAATGAATTAAAGTTAACAAACAATACTATACAATAGCTACAAATAACTGCATTCTGCCCTACAATTATTTCTACTCAATAGCCTATAGAATAATTTTAAATATAACTGTTGCTGCCTACTCTCTAACCATTAAGATAATAAAATAATCCAGAAATACCTGACCTTGCTATCCATAATGATCAGCATATATAAATATTTGAGTACCACACAATACACATGGCCTGAAGATTCTCTTGAAACAGATTGTCATTCTGCATTGACCTCAATGTTCAATTTTATATCTACATGCACTATATCTCTGATATTGAGCACTTTTACTCAAACTGTCTCTCTCTCATATATATATATATATATATATATATATATATATATATATATAAAAGAAAGAACACTTGGTACTGAGAGAGAGAAAAGACTTCCTTCAAAGGGTTAAGCTAGAAACAGAATTCTAAAAAAATAAAACCCATTGAAAGTCATTGTTCAAGAGACAAATATGATTTAGTATAAAATGAAACTACCATCTGTAAAGTGACTTTAACATGTTCAGGTTTTATTCTATTTGGCCAGTCTACCAGCCAAAATGTCACCTGTACTCTTTGAACTTTACACTGACTTACAATGTCTTATACAAAATAAAAGTATTAAATAGACTTAATATTTTTCTCTTGTGGTTTAAGGTTGTCCACTCCGAAGTCTAATTCTTATCATTTCAAGTCCTGCAATTGTAGTTGTTCTTTATATTCTTTCAATTTTATTAATAAGAGAGAAATCTGTTTCTCTTTCGGATTGGATCAGGACTTTAAAGAAATATAATTTATCTTTTTTTTTTACTTTTAATTAAAATAAAACTTCTTAACCAGTATATTACTTTATTTGGATACCAATAATAACAGCAAAAGTTGTTTATTTTTTTTGCTGATGTGTAAATAAAATTTTTAGTAAATATGCAAAAATTTGACAATATTTGATCTCTCTAGTTGTTTTCTATTGATTAAGGATGTGCAGGTGGTATAATGGAATGAGAAATCAGAGAGCCTGTTATGATTTTCCAGTTGGCTTTGCTACATTCACTTATACAGAAATACCCTTGGGAAAGAGATGAATTCATCTCTTCTTCCCCCCAGCTATGGGTTAAATAGTATGACTTGTATTTGTAAAAATCATTATTTTAAAAAAAATATTGTCATGGAAAGAAAGAATTCAATCTTTTTATTAAAATAAAATCTAAGGATAATTTTCTTTAGTATCGCTCTGAAGACCTCATAGAATCTTCCTACTGCTTTGAATGAGTCAACTAATAAGCTTCTAAAATCTATAGGGAATATAACAAAACCAAACACACTTGAACAAGTTATTGTTTTTTATTTAAATTATTCTTAAGGTACACAAAGTTAAATTATGACTTTTCTCTCTTTTTATTTCAGTGCAAGAGAAAAATTAACTTTCATAAGTTATTGGCTTATGGCCATTTTTTTTTCTTTTTTAAATCATTTTACTCCAAACAAGGCAATAAAACCACTACGACACAAGAGGTTCTGAGGGTGAGAGAATACAAAAAAAAATTATTAAGGAGTGAGAACAATAAAAGAACAGGAATTAAGAAAGACTGAAGATAACGCCTGACATTGCATTTAAATTTTTTAAGATCAAAGCTGACTGGGAAGCAAAAAACCAGAAGAGAGTTCCACAAGTGAGAAGTGCAAGAGAAGAAACTGTTAACATAGAACTTACGGTTACATCTATCTACAAATCAAGTATTGCATTTAATTTCATAAAGTCTACTTTATCAGGTTGAAACATCGGTTCCTGAATGGTCACCAAAGTTAAGCAACATCAAGTTTGGTCAGTACCTAGATGGGTGACTGCCTTAAAAATACCAGTTGCTGTAAGCTTTGATGTGCAGGTGGTGTAATGGATAATGGCTCAGAATTGGAAATTGGAGAGCCGAATCCTAATTCCAATTTTTAAATGTTATCCACCATTTCAAGCATATTCAAGAGAATTCTAGAATCTGCTTTGCTCTGTGGCTTTCTCATATGATCAGATTTATATGAACAGTTTATTTTAATCCATAGAATTATATATATATATATATATATATATATATATATATATATATATATATAAAGAAAGGATTTCAAAGAAAAACCTTACATTTGAATCGGATTATCCCCAGAAAGAAAGGTTTTTATATATATATATATATATATATATATATATATATATATAACAGCCATTTAAATATATTACTAAATCATTAAGCCTTTAGCATTCAACATATTCAAGCACACCCTGTAAATATTGACTCTCAAAGTCTTACTGTTTGTGGTCAAAGTTCTACTGTTTGTGGAACTTCTTACATTATTTGCAATTATATTATATATTATAGCAGAGTATACAGGGGACTCATGTTTGTCTTTCAGTGGTTTGGTATTCATCTACATTTCACCATTTATATAGAGAGTAGTAGTGTCAGATTTACTGATAGTTTTTCCAGACAATGTTCACTGACATGTGTATCATACTCCACAAGGGTAGTGTAAAAGCCAAGTATATCACTTATCATGTACCATCTACACCTGATTTTCATTCTACATTCCAATGGCAGTTGATTTAAACAGTTTACACTTGGTTTCATTAAAGTTTTCCTGCCTTCACTGCAGCCATAGATTTCCATCTACCCCTAGCAGTAACAGGTTGTACTGGAATACAGCTTACCGCTTGTCAGTAACAAGAATCAAGCAAGACCCATGTTAACTATTAAGCTGTAGCTTAGTATAATTCCAAGTTTTCCCTATTAGTATAAAGTTTGCCCTTACTACAATGGAACTATACATAGGCTTTAGAGTGAATAGGCACCTTTTACTGGTCATCAAAAAATAACAGATTGAGAGCCAATATTTACTAAGCAGGTTGGATGCTAATAGTTTAAAATATATTCATCGATGAATATTGGGTCCCATAAAAGCTAAAGTAAGAATATTTTATTATTGTTACTATACTCTTACTTTAATCTTTTTTATTTTTTTAATCCCATTCTTGATTAATCCATTCTCCTTCAGCTGTTGAAATTATTGGTCATAATCTTAAGTTGAGGATTTGGCATGACCTATTTTTGATAACCTCTTTTTCATTTTGACCCTTTTCATATCAAATATTCTGGTATGTTCTACAGCTTTCTTTTCTTTTTTTTTCTTTGCCAGAATAAAATGATTTTTTGTGAAATATTTCCAACTTATTTTGATTAGAGCTAAATACATTTTGTATGTTTGGATATCATCTTATTGATGTTTGTCTTCATTCAGAATGAAATTAACTCAAAAAAAAAAAGATTTTTTATGGATATTAGAAGTCAGTTCATTTCAGTTTTTTATTCTTTCTGGTAAAATATTTTTTTCAAACTATTTGATCATAATGAAATTTTTAATCACAGCTGAAATTTATTTGTTAAACATTCCTTTTCAAAATTTTATCTTTAATTTTAAAAAAAAGTCAAATTGATCTCCAATACTGCAACATTTGCCTTAAAAATTTTGTTTAATAAAATTAAATGCATTTAATAATTTTCTTAAATTGATAACTAATAAATGGCATTAATAGAAAGAGATGCCCTGTCATTGTTATGCTTTGACCTCCCAACCCCATCTTCTTTTGCCGTTACTATAGTAGAAAGAGTTTTAGAACAAGGGTGTATAAATACTGCTCTGACCTGGATGATATACACAATGCACATCAACTGGACAACTTTCCAGGTTGAATAAATTACAGCTTTATATTTTTATTTAATTCATCTTTGAATCAATCTGCTGTTTACAGTTTTATCAGAAATAAAATTCTGGTTGAGCAAGCAATACTGTTTTCAAAATAATCTTCAGAGTTGATTCTAACAATACAGTTTTTTGACTTGGGGTTTGAAAACCATAACCAAATATTCTTGCCTTATAAAGAAATAAGAAATTTTAATGTTCTATTTTTATACTTATCTCGATGTTTTGTCATTCTTTTCAGTAATCTTTTAACAAATTTTTCAAATCACAAGTTCACAATCTTAAAAAACAGTTTTCTTAACAACAGAAAACGTTATTGTTAGGACTTTAATCCATGCCTATATTTAGCATTTATAAATTCATATTGGCTTATGATTGATAGCAAAATCAATCTCAAGGTGAAATGAAAATTTAAACCCGTTCGTATTGATATAATTTTTCTCTTGAAAAATGTATATTTAAAACCCGAGCATGCTTGCATGGAGTAATTTTCTGTTTTAGCTCCTTAATTGTTTTTTTTTTGTTTTTTTAGTCATCCTTTTGAAATAATACACCACAGAAATGTGTTTATTTAGCAATGAGATCATTTTGCAAGTTTTCTCCTCGAGAGAAAAGAATTGCTAAGTCTTTTATTAATTCTAATGATATGTACCATTATTCTCTTTGGTTGTCTTGCATCAACCTTTAAAATTCTACCCCACAGACTTTGCTTGAAAGTGCTGATGTCTGATTGCGTCCATCTGTCTGCTCTATCCGCCGTACTCCTGATGCTGCTCTACAAGCATATTTTACAAGAAAGAAAATCCCCCCCCAACTATTCGACATCCCTTTTTTACCTGTTTATTTCTGTTCTTTTCAGTGGACAAAATTGACACACTCAAAAGTTCCAGTGCTCCACGTATCAACCAAACTGGTCTGTTAATGGCCCTGAATGCCATCTTGTGTTGTGTCTGGTTACACTTGTCTGAGTGAGAGCCAGCGTCCCGCCCGTTGCCCGCCCGTTGCCTGCCTATCCGCCCGCCCGCCCGCTGTCTATGTTTTGCCCCTTGTAATCTAACAAGAAATAAACATCAACAACAACAACAACAAAAGAAAAAAGATTCCAAATATTTTAAAAAGGAAGCAAAAAAAACAAAAAAAACAAAAAGAAACAAAAAAAAAAAGGAAGGAAGAAAAAAAAAAGAGGCAAAGAAACATCAAGTGAAATCATCAAAAGCCAACCACAAAGTGACGGGAAGGATTTTGTTTGGAAAAAAAAACAAAAAAAAAAAGAAGAAAAAACTCACCTTTGTCTCAAAAATAAACAAAAAAATGGAGAAAATAAAATAAAATGAAAAAAGAAGAAAACAATTGAGAATAGACACTTACAAAATAAAATTAAAAAAAAAAAAAACTTTTTATGAACTAAAATGACAAAGAATCTTTTTCAAAATTTCTTGGAGGACAACTCCCAATTCTAAATCATCTTCCAGGAAGAATGTACTTTGCACGCTTTTCTTGTATTAAGTGTTTTGTGTGCACTTGATGATGATAAAAGATGAAAGACAATTTTGATTTCAATTGGCCTATCGTCACAATCTGTTGGACAATAAATAAATTAATGAAAGCTTGTGCAAGAGACGTGTGTGTGAGTATATGTGTGTGTGTGTGCCCGTGAGTCAGCATGTACATATATATATATATATATTTGGATTGATACTTTCCTCTTAAATGTGAATAATAACCTTCATGTTAGTTGAGTCCCACTTTTTTTTTAAAAGAAACATTTAACATATTTTTCTCACTTACACTTTTTTTTTTTTTTTTTTTTTTTTTTTTTTTTTTTTTACCCCCACCTAATTTATACTTTTTATTTTTTGTTTGTCTTTCTTCCCTAGAGGCCTCCTTCCCTACCCCTTGTCCCTTTACACAGACATTGCCTGTGACATTTTGACTTACATGACAAATGCAGGAATATAGTCTGGTTAAGTTAGACAATTATTCTATCTTTTTTTTTTTTTTTTTCCTCTCTCTTTCTTTTTTTTGCCTTTCTCTCTGTCTCTTCTGTGTGGTTCCCCTAATTTCTGGAACTCTTGCTATTAATCTATTTAGTTTCTTCCTCCTCCTAAACTTACAATTCTGATACGTTTACATGCTAGTTGACTACAAATAGGCCTTTGAATAAATAGATGTTGACTGACCTGCCATCATCTTTCCTGGATTTTCCCCCACCCCACAATTTTCTGAATATATGTTCATGTGGCTAAGTCTTCAAAAGGGATTTTATCTCTTCTTCAGATATATGTTGAATGCCTGTACCCACCTCCCAACCTTAATAATGTAATTAATATGAAGTCTGGTTTGATCCCCACTCCGGCCTTTTATCCAACATTGCCGTTAAAATAATTTTCTTTCAGTATTTATCCATTCGAATCACATTAGAATTGAGGAGGAAAATCAAAATCATAACAAGAAATAAATTTCTCCTATTTTAATGATTACTTTTCATTTGTTCAGCATAAATTAAATTCTTTTACATTTGAGGCATAAAGAAAAGAAAGTGAAAAGATAGACTCGTTTGTGTATTTCAATATTAGTGTTAATAAATCAACAATGGCTGCGATTGGGTTACTGCCAAAAGTTGATCTTCAATGGAAACTGTGTTTGACTTTGGCAAATTCAAACAACATTCAAATCAAATTTGTGTAGACTTTCAGTAGAATTTAACCTCAAATGAAAAGATTTGCTTGCCTGTCTTAGGTTTTTGATTTTAATTATTGGCAATTTATTTTTTCATTTGAAAAAGTCTAAACTATTTTATAAGTTGGCTTTTAGAAAAGGAAAAAAAAAAAAGATTTTTATTGGATCATTAAATGATTCTCTCCAAATTTTTCTTTTGCTCACTTTATTTTTTTTATTTTATTTATTTATTTTTTTTTTTTTGTCCACTAAATATGTGAAAACATTTCATAAAATGCAGTTTGACTGGGTCCAGAAAGAAGTTTTAGTATATCTATAAAGTGAAGCATATCATCTCTTGAATAGGAGCAGATGGCGGTGTTTCCTCAGCAGCCTGAACATTTTTAAGGACAATTAACAGTTCCACATGGTTGTTAAAAACAAAACCAAGTAAAAATGACCAAAGTGATTCCTACCACCTCTTGACCTGATCCCTAGATCTGCTTGATTCAAATAATTTTGACCAACTGTATCATACAGTGTTTACTGTTTTCAATTTGGACATTTTAGTTGAAAAGTATGAATGGTTTTCTGTTTGTAAATTGCTTGGCTTAATAAGTGCAGAAAGTTATTTGGAATTACATTTCTGCTGCCTCACTGGTAGGATGAGAAGAAGCTGTATATGTCTGATAAAATGGCTCCTAGTTTTATATAATTGGAGAAGGGGATCTTCAAAATTATATCTAGCATTATTTGCTCAACTTGTCTAGACACAGGCTTTAGAGTTCTTCTTTAAGCCTTCCTAAATTTTGAATGTTTCACATTATGATATATCAAGAGAAGAAAACATCACAACTACCAATGAGAATTGGTCAGACTGGTTTCCACAAAAATGATTCCCATTTCAGAATAACCACGACCAAAGTTGAGGTGGTTTATATCTGATTTTATTAGCTTCTGAGTGATTGCTGTCTTTTGCATTTTCTTTGGACATCACATATCTTTTTATTTTAGAGTATTAGCAATTTAAATTTTAAAACTATTTTTATTTTTAATCCTTAGCATTTAGAAATCTTTTTTTTTTTCCTTGGTTAAAAACTCTAAATTTTCATTTCATTAATAGGATTAAAATTGAAGTTACAATATTTTGCCTTAATCCAATGTAATTATGCCTTATCCAAAAAGCATACTTAGTCAATTTATTACCTAAATCTGTTAGGCACACATTCAGTCTATTTCTGATACCAAAGGCTTTAAAAGTATATATATATATATATATATATATATATATATATATATATATATATATATATATATATATATATATATATATAATGAAATAATTCTTGTCGCTGCAAATACTGTCCTGCCACAATTTGTACATCAGGCTTAAATGAGCAATATCCGTATCTGATTGATTTGTATGCAATTTTGATTATATCTGATAAACATTCTCTCATTTGGCTTACAACAGGATTAAATTAATCCTAGGATTCCTGGATTTTCCCACTCTGATTATGTCACTCTGTGGTCTTGTAATGCTTCATAGGTACAGTAAATAAGGCTTCTATGTGTTACCAACTTTACAACTTGGTGATTGCCAATTATATATCATTTATTTTGAAAACATGATGCATGCATTTATACCTACATGTGCATACATACACTCTCACACACATATAATGCATGTATCCATTCATTGGCTGACAGTAAATAATATTATCATTTACATTTTTTTTTTCTCCTTCAATATCTCTTTTTCTCCTTCTCAGCCCCCCCCAAAAAAAAAAGAAAGTTCTGAATAGAATTTGGGAAGGAGGGACAATTTCTTCCCAAGATTTTTCTTGCAAGAATTCCTAAATTCTTTTGACTGTACTGTCTCCTTCCCTTTCTGGACAACTCTTACCTTCTCGTCTGCCCGGAAATACTTACGTTCAAATTCACTTATTATCCTTCTTGTTCATGCCAATTTGGTTTTGTCCATTTAACTTACCAATACCTCAGGTGCTCAGATCATGTCAAGCTGAAACTGATTTTTAGACACTGGCTGCTTTATCTCTCTATCTGTCTCTCTCTCTCTCATTCGCTAGCTTTGTTCAGTTTTCCAGTGCTGCTACAAAACTTTATTTTTAACATATGCAAATCAAGCTACCTTCCAATCTGTGGGAAACCATTTACAGAGTCCACAGACCTTTGCTATTTACAATAATAAAAGTTCAGATCATCTCATTGGTAGTGGCTGATTGTGTGCATCTATATTTAGCTATCTATGTATATATGTGTGTCTTTTTGTATGCATCTATGTGTATGCAGATTTATACGCCATTGATATGAAAATGGGTTTGCTTGATATTTGTCCTTCCTTATGAGACTGGGAACCCTGTTCGAAAATAAGCAGTTTCAGTTGTTACTATTGTTTTTTAGGTTCAAATGAATTTTTCTCATAAAAACAAAGCTTCCTTATACCCTTTTATTCCAAATAGTCAAAGTGTGCTAATTAGTATTTGTTACACATGTCAGTCAGTTATTCCACTTGGTATAATTGGAGCTAACAAAATGTCTTTATTGTAAATTCTGCATAATGGCATTGTATCTGGATTGGTTATTTCTTTAACTAGGCATTAGCAACATTCTTGTTCTTTTTTTCTCATAGACAGCATATGCTGTGTTACTCAAATTAAGCTTAAGAATTGATTACACGGCTAATTTTATATAAAAATTGCTTTTATATTAATGATATTGTCATGGAAGCATTTTCAAATCCTTTGTGTTTGTCTTTTGTTCACTTTTTTTCTTAGTCAATCAAAATAAACCTCCTTTCCCCCTGTTCTATTATATATGTGTTCATTTTTTTAATTTTTATTTTTTATCATAACCATTAGTTGCCTGTCAATAAACCCGACTCATTGACAAAATAGCTAAAGATTTGATCACTGGAAAATCCATAATCTTTTCTTGATGGCTAAATATGAATATTGTATGCTTTTTGGCCATTTTTTTTTAAAAAATTAATCGCCCAGACACATACACACACACCACCTAATCTAAAAATTGAAATTTCCAGTTGATTCTCACCAAGATGAATAACATTTAGTATTTTTAATATGGTTGGTTTTGTTTTTTAACTTGCTCCAATTACTTGGGAAATGTGTTATATCCCTACCCCAGGTTAGTTTTTGTTGAAGTGTTTCTATTAAGTAATTAATTGATATCAGTTAGACCAACATTTTGAGCCTTTCTTAAATTAACAGGAAT